GTGGACTAAGCAAAATATAGCTCCAATTGAGCTGTAAATATGCTGAAAATATAACAATTAAATTGATTATTACAATTATCTGTATGTACATAGAATTAAATGCCTCTGGTATGGGTCTCTTTCTATAGGTTCATTGAGCTCAAGTGAGAATAAAGGTGCTTGGTCTGTTAAGGTTTTAAAAGTACTTGTGTACAAGGCAGCGCAAATTGGTGGTTTTGAATTTGTCAAAACTGTCTTCAGTACTTCTGCTGGAAAAATAGTATTTTCCAATTACAAGGACAGTGCTACATTACCAGAGGATGCTGCCAGAGCTAATGGACATACAACCTTGGCTGATTACCTTCAAGGCTTGAACACCAGGTAATAAAGATTCAGTCAGATTATTTAGACCTGAAAAGTATATTGGGACCATTGGTAATTCTAAAATGATTAGCTGTTTCCCCTTGGCACTTTTTGATGATATTTGTTCCATCCAAATGTAGCAAAGTCAGTTTTCTAAGGCAACATAAATTTAAGTCAGGTAATTTAGAATGCTTATCTGTCTTATCTCGAAACAAAATGTACAGGAAGTGTCTGCCACAAACCAAACAATGTTGGTATACTAATCTGAGTGCTTTCACTCTGTCTCAATGTGCAGGTTGTCAAAAGAAAGCAGCAATGATACAGGGACTGAAAACATTGATTGGTTGGAACTGAAGCATGCTGTAGATAAGGAGCAGAGTCTGCCTTGTAAGCTTTTGCCATTTTCGGTTTCATGTGTGGCTGCTAACCATTTTTTACATGGTTTCACTTCTGAGACCAGACCAGACCGGTAATTGGTTGACGACTTTAACAGCTTAAGCTTCCAGAAATTTTCAATGTCAGGTTCAGTACCTCCAAATAGGACCTGTTTACCTGCCGCATCTTTGTTACTAGAAACTTTCAAAATATTAGAGACAAAAACAATGACATTATCGATCTCCCTACAGCAATGTTGTGAGGCCCCTTGAGCAGTTCACATCTCTGGGTTAAACTGTGAAATTATACAGTGGCCTCATGGTTAGTGTGCTCGTCCCTGGAGTGAGTGGTTTGGGCTCGAGCCCTAACCGGGGACACTGTGTTGTGTTCTTGGGCAAGACACTTAACTCTCACAGTGCCTCTCTCCACCCAGGAGTATAAATGGGTAGCAGCAAATTGTTGGGGAAACCCTAACAAATTGCGGGGGAGTGACCTGCGATGGACTAGCATCCCGTCCAGGGGGAGTAGAAATACTCCTAGCCGCTTCATGCCACAGAAACCAGGATAAGCTCCAGCAGCTATGAGCCATCGGCTCCAAGGCTTCACTTTTGATAAAACGTGTTGGGACCAGTGGTTCCCAGGGTGGATAATGCTATCCACCAGATAACTCGCTATCCAGTGAATAAGTGTTGGTAAAACAAACTACACCATTCACAGGATAATGATTTATCTGGTAGATAGTGTTATCCACCCTTTGAACAACTGGGGCCAGAACTTTACTGGCATTCTTGTTGGTGTCAGACCAGTTGCACTCTCTCTTTCTCACAAAATTCTCATGAATTAAGGTGTTTGGTTGTAATATTTCTGGTGTGATTGGCCACTGCAGGCACTGATGATGCACAGATGTTGAAGAATTGTCAACCTTCAAGTCTTCAAAGTGATCATGATGGAAGTGACTACTTAGCAGATGATGAAATGTCAGCTTGTTCATCACCATCTCACAGTAAATTGTCTGATACAGAACATGAAGACCATAGTCAAGATACAATAAGTATGTTTGGAATAATTATTATATGGTTAACTTGCAATTTGTATCATATAATTTTCCCTGTAATATAGTAATAAATAAGTCACTAGTTAGTGCCAGATGAAAACTCATGAAAACTCAATATGGTTGCTTAACTTTTTTGAAAATTTTAAGGGGGAGGTGTTTAATACTTTCATCCAAAATTGATTTCAACATCGCCTCCATTTCCTTGTCTTGATCCATCCTATCTTGAATTGATTACAGTGAACCTGCTAGCAGATTTGAACAAACCATATGACACTACTGTGGCAGTGTTCATTTTTTAACTGTTTTTCATCCTCATTGACAGCTTACAGGGGTTTGAAGAAGGTAAATGAAGAGAATCATCCAGTGGAAAACGATGATCTGTCTTTGTTCCCTTTGCACCTTGTTGGAAACCAACTTGAAGTCATTCCTTCTATCAAGGCTGAAAATGGTGCAAATGAGCACAAACAGCTAGACTCTGGAGAGGTGGAGTCACACAGCAGTGAAGATGACATGAATGAAAATGAGTATGAATGTGCCAGTTTTAAAACTGATCAACATGGTCTCAATCAGATTGAAAGTGTAAGTGTTTACTGCCAACTACGCTACCTGAAAGGTAAATTACAATCCCTTTGTGGCTAGGCGTCATTTCCTGTGACGTCACCATCATCATTGCTTAAGGTTTCTATTCCTGTGCGAACAGGAATGCATTTTTGAAGTTTTCCTCCTTGCTCTTTTGTTTTATCCTCACAGCGTCTTGTTCTGTTGTGTAAATGGCTAATCAATTATAATTCTGTTGGTTAGGAGATCATCGCCTCAACACATATTGAAGCTATGCAATATCAATTATGTAAGTTTATTACCTAAAAGGTCAACTTTATTTGCAAGTGATACCTAACTAATGAGATAAGCATAGAATCACAGACCATGTACACACCTGTATTGCACCAGAAGTGGTGCCAGAAAGGAAAGGAAATTTACACCCTGTTTATATGGTAACATGGTGAATGAAACTTCTGTCATTGTGAGGTTTGGCCATTCTTGGGGTGTTACTGAACAGCATAACGAAGTAACAAGAAACCGACTAATGGTAAAAAAATTGTAAAATCTTTTAAACATGTGTAAAATTGATTAAAACAGATAAAAAGTAAAGAAAGAATGTCTTTCAAGGCACAGAAAGGCATTTTGCTATTTTAAATTCATGTAACGGCTGCCTATATCATTCCATGTACACATGATACTGCGCTGAAGGAAGGACCTGGATAGTGTGTATATTTTTCTTTCTTACATCAAAGTGTTCAAAATTATATGCAAATCAGGTCTAAAATTCTTAAATTTTGAAGAGGCCAATGCCCAAGACTATTGCGGCAGACCACCGTGGAAAGTTTTCGAAACCTGAAATTTGATACTATGGATATAGTCTTTGTCAGTTGGTGGAAAAGAAATCTATCACCTGACGGTTGCAGTGGTCGAATAACTTAAAGTGGCCCAGTTAGATTTTTCAATAGTGACACCACAGGCAGCCCAAGCTCACAATGCGAGGAGTTATTATTTTTTTAAAATCTTTATGCGAACGTTCAGCGCGCGAAACGTGACACAGTTATTGCCAACATCTACTATTACATTTTACGACACTCGATTGTGGACTGACCCCCGCTCGAAGCGAAAAAAAACACTGAAATCCCGCCAGCCACCCCAATTCCTCCGCAGAATCATAGTACAGGGTTAAGCACTCCCTTTCAGTTAAATTCCAAGCCAAATTCATCTCCACAGCATACGATACAAAGCTCGGAATCGAAGAAAGCTAACCATCCGGAATCAGTGATCATGCTGCCGGGACCAACCACGGACACATTCGAAACCCGAGCGGAATGCCGGGCTAACAAATTGAACCTGACCAGGGGAAGGGAGGGCACAGTTCTCGACAAGCCAGGTACTTTGCTCCACGGTCCCCTGGAAAGATTTTTGTCCAGGCCGCCGACAGAGCATTGGTGTGACAAGCCAATCAAAGCAACGACTAGACGTGTTAACAAATTTTGAAAAAAATGCTTCGTTCACACCGGCAATCTCAATCTAATCGTTGGATTGTGACACCTTGATTATTCCAAATTGAAATATAAATCACAACACACTAAAACATAATACAGGAGATTGATATTCGCACTCTTACTAGGGATAGACCAAAGTTTCGGGTGCGGTGTATTTTATCGAGATCAGAGTTACCATGGCAACGCAATGACGTCATTGCTCTTTTTATTCACACTCAATTTTCTTAAAATCTAGAGGTTTTCTTTCTAAACTGTCTACTGTACTTGTAGTTTAGATAGTGTGCCTGATGTGTAAGGTAAGGTGAGGTAAAGTCTGCTTACGAGCCAAGTGGCCCATCAGGCCAGAGCTTATCCCAGTTTCTGTAGCATGAAGCGACTAGGAGTATTTCTACTCCCCCCTGGATGGAATGCTAGTCCATCGCAGGGTTACCCCCAGCATTAAGTTCGCTTTTACCCATTTATACATCTGGGTGGAGAGAGTCACTGTTTGAGTAAAGTTTCTTGCCCAAGAACACAACACAATGTCCCCGGCCAGGGCTCGAACCCAGACCGCTCGATCCGGAGACGAGCGCACTAACCATGAGGCCACCGCGCCTCTCGTGCCTGATGTGTAGCGAGTTTTAACAAATTCTATGAGAGCGATTGTGAGAAATCTTTTGCTGAAGTTTTCTACTGTTAGCATGAAACAAATCTAATCGAGTCGCTCTAGCATATGTTTGCCGGGGTTACGGAAAGCGCATGTGGAGCACATGTCATTTTTTATACACATGAACCACATTTCCTGAAAAGTGGAACAAAATCACTTCATTTGATATCGAAAAATATGAACTTGAATAAGGTGGCTATTTTGCTTTTTGGTCAAAACTTGGCTATGTTTTACACCCAGGCGAATATTACAAAACGTTCGTGATAAATTTCTTTTAAACTCGGCCCTCAATGAGATAAATTCATATTCAACGTCATCCCGGAGTTTCAAATTATTTGAAACATTTTAAGGCTGATATTTTTCAGCTTCAAGCCAGGAAAATATTGCACTGATTTTCACTCATGTTGTTTGCTGTCTTTGACATTACAATGTTCTTTTGTCTCGAATCACCATGCTATTGTACATTTCTGTATATCATGAATTCATAAAGCGTGTAGTAGTTGATGTTCAAGTCAATCTTTCTGAAAGTCAAGAGGAGTGATTTCTCTGATTTTTTCACTCGAGGTAATTAGATGTTATAAGATTCATTTAAGACCAGAATACCATTTAGTCAAGTCTTGTGGATATATTTTACAATAACATTTAAAACACCTAAGTTTTGTTCTATTTTGACACTTTGAAACTTCAGTCGTAATTTTCTTGAAAACGCTCTCATGGATTTTTTTAAAATTTTCCATTGTTAAGACAACTATGTCAAGTCTGAGATCCCGACTTCGCAATTTCAAAATTATCCCTGGTGGTAAGTTATTTGGTCTCGTGTAAAATGGGGCATGGCGTCATTTTGTTGCTATGGTAACTCAGATCCTGGTTAAGTGTACCCCATTTGAGACTTTCATCTTTCTCTAGCACACCAGTAATGTTCGATTTTCTGTTGGATTGATTATGGTGCTGCTCTAGTCACTCAAAGGTGGATAGTATCGTTACTCTGATCGAGCCACCTTAATTCCTTGTTCAGAGGAGACATCAACTTATGATGATAATGAGAAAAGTGAAGAAAGAAGAAATTGCAACTAAGCCATGGCGACCGAGTCAAAAGAACTTAGCCAATCCAAACTATGATTTACTAGAATTAAAACAATTAAAAGTTGGACTGCTGGTCCAAGACTCTTCTGTGATTTAAATGGCGTATCAATTACGATTCTGTTTGTTAGGGAAATCAGAAGCTCGTCTTGATGTGATGGAAGCCAGAAAAGAAATGATTCCCTCCCTAAAAAGATGCAGAGAAATCAGAGGTATGTTTGTTACTAAGAGGTCAATTTTCTTTGCARGTGATACCTAACTAATGAGATAAGCATGGAATCACAGACCATGTATACACCTGTATTACACCCCTAGCAATGAAGTAAGTTTCTAACCCATAAGTCAACTTTATTTGCAAGTGAGATAAGCATGGAATCGCAGACCATTTATCCACCTGTGTTGCACCTCAAGCGGTGCTAGAAAGAAAAGGAGATATACACTCTGTTAATATGGTAACATGGTAAATGAAGCTTCCGTCATTGTGAGCTTTAGCCCTTCTTCAAAGCCAGAAGTGGGTTGAAGAGATTCAGAAGGGGATTACTAGCA